TCGAAACCACTGAACGACCTGATCGGGCACACCATGATTGCAATCGCACCGATATAATCGATCGCTGGGGGCGTCATCCGATCCCCCACACCTACAGCACTCGCCGCTCTTCAGCGAGTGGTATCCTGCGGCCACAAGACGTTGCTCGGTCCAGTAGCCAGCAGGAATGACATTGCAAAGGGTCCCCGCTGCCTCCAGCCCCCTAGCCTTGCTCAACTTGTTGAGCACTCTCGTAACCACCGTGACAGCAGCTCCTTCTAGCCCTCTCCCTTACGTAATGCACGGAAGCCTGCTGCCAAGGCAGCGCGAAACAAATCTCAACCAACTGTTCCCGCAAGGCAGGAGGACCATGCTCATCCGCAACGTAGAGGGTGGCGTCTGAAGAGCACCACGTCAAGGGAGAGATAGGTCCCAAGACAAGCCGAGCAAGACAGCAGTCTCGGCAGCAATGGGACCTCGAACCACTGGCCACCAATATTTAACACCTTCGAACTTAGCTGTTGTTTTGGTCCACGCGCGACAATCAATCGTTGGCAGCTCCAATCAACCCGAGAATCGAAGTGGTGCAAGCCCTTGGGGCTCAGCACCGAGAACAAGTGGCCGCTTTGGACCGAGCAGTGAATCTGGGAGGGGGTAGGCCCGAGCACCTCGTGACCACAGGAACCAGCCGCAAGCCCGCTGGGCACATACGACACCTTCTGGGCTTCATCATTGGCCGCTCGCTGCCTCTGCCTCATCGTGGACGTAGTCTCACCAGCCACACGACTGCGAAGACCATAGCGGCAGACAAGAGATTAGCATCACGTTCCAGTAATACATCCGGATCTACATAAGCGCTCTTGCCAAATGTGATGGTGCATGCCTGCCCAAGACGGTCGGTCAGCCAGACCACTGCCAGCAGGATTTGGGATACCACCTCCTCAGCTCATCTCCTTCTGAGACCCCTTTCAGCGTCTGGGTACTGTCATCAGCGAACGCCTTGATACGAAGTGGAAAGTAAACGCACATGCACGAAATCAAGCAACTCGTGAAGGTGGATCTTGACCCAAGGCACGGGTTGGGTGCAACCTGGAAGAACCCAAACCCGCGTGGAGATAAAATCCGACACGAAAACTCCGACCTCCCAAGACCGAAGGGGCCTCATGAACAAGGAGCCTCAAGTAAAACAATTTAACTGGGCACAACACATTCAAGGAGAACCCAGCCAGACGAAGAGGATCCACCGTATCAAAAGAAACTTGATCCGATCCCAAGAAAGACTTGTGAATTTCAAATCATTTGAGACAGCAGTCGCGTGACAAACCTCTTTCAATAGAGGGCGGCCTGCAACGCTGAGGACCCAGCGGTGTTCCAAAGATTCTCGCGCTTCGTGGACCCAGCATCGATATTTTGGCCCCTAGTCCTGCAGTAGCCACGGTACACACTGGCACACTTACATGCAGGCCGCTCCGCGTCGGCCGCTGCAGGGAGAAGCGCAACAATCCCAAACATGACCTGAGTAGGCAACACCATGTGTTGCTCGCACTGGTTGGATATAGATATCAGCATAGACCTCGACAGCACCAGGGGGAAGGAGAAAGGGAAGTCGCGAGGCCCAGTGGTCTACCCCCACAGCCGCGTCCGTTTTTTAAAAATAGAAATCCTCAGCACGTCCCCAGGGCCGATGGGCTCCAGGACAACAGAGACCTCCAGAGCCTTGCTCCTCAACACGTCCAACATCCCAGAAAGAGCCAACCCTTCATCCTCCGAAGGCTCCCAGAATTCCCTTCCTTACTGACCACAGTGCTGCATGATTTCTTCTGGCAGTTGCTGGGCATCGTGAGGCGTGACAAGTTGCTCGAGGACAGCACTTGGGTCGTATCTAAGTCTGGAGTGCACACACTTAGCACCTCGCGGAGAGGCAGGAAGAAAACACTGCGTCAAGTAGGCCTTTGACAGACTGCGATCGAGCGGAATGCCAAGCCTTAGAGGGAGGGACGGGGAGGGAGGGAGGGAGGGAGAGGTAGAGGGAGATGGAGAGCGAGAGATAGAGAGAGAGAGAGAAAGAAAGAGGGAGAACCAGAGAGCGAGAGAGAGAAAGAGAGAGAGAAGAAGCGCACGCAGCTGTCGAGGAGGAGGGATGAAAGAGGAGACGGGGAGTGGGAGATGAGGAGATGGGGGAGAGGGAAGAGGAGGAGGAGGAGGAGGAGGAGGAGGAGGAGGACGCGTGGGAGGAGAAGGGGGAGACGACGGAGGAGGAACAGTAGCAGGCGGAGCAGGGCAAGCAGGTGCAACGAAAGCCTGAGGCAGAAGGACAAAGGAGGCAGGCGCGCCAGCGGATCAGGCTCAGTGCCGCATACCCGAGCCAGAAGTTCAGGCTGGCGGTGGACACCAGCAGCGAGCAGAAGAGGGCGGCGCCGCCAGCTCCGGTGGATGCCGGCGTCGTCGTCATCCAGAACGGGAGCGCCACCTGGAAGAGGAGGAGGAGGAGGAGGAGGAGGAGGAGGAGCGCGACGGCGGCGACGACGACCGACAAACGACGACGGCAACGGGGACGACGGCGAGGATCGCGACGACAAAAACGGCGACGACGAGGACGAGGGCGGCAGACGTCCGCCGACGACCAGGACGGCGGAAGCGACGGCGGCGACAAAAATCGCGGGCTCCTCCTCGGGGCGTCGACTTGCTCATGCGTCCTCGCTCCTCCCCCTCCTCCTCCCCCTCCCCCTCATACCCCTCTTCCGCTTCGCTCCAGAAGCGCACGCGGGAGGAGGCGCCCGAAAGTATTAGAAATTGCAGTAACAGTGCACATAGAAGTGTGCGTAGTCGATAGTTTTCGAATCAGTCGTAGCCGTAATGCGAATAGCACGAGGAGAAGGAGGAAAAGAAAACACAGTTTTGATGAGTGGGAGCGGCCACGTAGTGTGCCAGACCGCACCCATGCGTGAGAGAGTGTGCCCAGAATGAAGGTATCGATCGCAGAAAGAGGCATCATGCCAGACGGGGGCGAGGCGAGAGAGCTGCCCACGGCAAATCGTGGCAGTCTAGGGGGAAGGAGGAAGACTCGCCATTACTCACACGTCCATTCCCTGGGCATTTTTCGGCGTCGTGCGTGTATGATTCGCAAGGTGATAAAACATGCTCCTCAATAATCCTCGCAGAATTGTGCTACAGTTCTGGCGCAGCGTGACCCAAGGAGACAAAACAGGGGTATGAAGCTGACTTCATCTGGTATGCTGATGTGTGATGAAAAGGACCCCTAAATGTGTATATCTATATATATATATACTAGAACCATCGCGCGCGCTTCGCGCGCGCTCAGGTTCTAGCCCAGACCGGGGGGGCGCTGGACGATCTTGGACAACGCTATCAAGCACAGGCGCGCGACGGCATCTGAGGAGCTTCTGGGGTGTTCCGCATGCTTCGTCAACTGGCTGTTGGAGGCACCTCTTGGGTGCCTCTTGGGAGGCGTCTGAAGGTCCCTTGGGGGAATCGGTTCTGCAATCTGAAGCCGTCATTGGCCGTCTTGGCTGCGTGGAGGCCCGACTTGAGGCCACCTGCGGCCAGATTGAGGCAATCCGGAAGCCTCCCGCGGGCCTCCCGGAAGCAGTTTTGACGCATCGAGGGCACGCTTGGGCTATTTTAAACCTCTTGGACGTCTCCTAGGAGCATTTTGGGCCCCCGGGAAGCTTTTGGGGTCCTCTTGCGGCCTCCTGTGGGCCTTTTGGGGGGAACGCTCTGCTGCTGGGTCGCGTTCCCCTTCTTGGGCCTCTCTTGAGGCTCTTGGGGCCCTCTCAGGCCGTCTTGGGCGCCTCAAGCACCGTCTTGGGGCCCTCGCGGGCCGTCTTGGGGCCCTCTTGGAGGCCTCTTCCTCTATATTGGAGCGGTATTGGAAGCCTCTTGGGCCGTCTTGGAGCATCGGGATGCCAAAAGGCCGAAAAAATGAAAACCCGTCAAAGCCCAATCGTAAAACAATGAGTTGTGCCTCTTGGGGCCACCTTGGGAGATCTCTTGGAACCTCGTCGGCCTTCTTGGGGGCATCTTGGGGGCCTCTTGGATCCGATTGGGGGCCTCTTGGGACTTCCCGAGAACCTCTCGGGGTAGAAGATCGGATTCTCAGTTCGTGTTTCCCTTCTTGGGCCTCTATTGGGGCCGTCTTGGGGCCCTCGCGGGCCTTCTTGGGCGCCTCAGGCACCGCCTTGGGGCCCTCGTGGGCCGCCCAGGGCCCTCTTGGAAGCCTCTTCGGCTATATTGGAGCTGTCTTGGAGGCCTCTTCCTCCTCCTCGTCCCCCTCCTCCTCATCCCACTCCAGCTCTCTCTCCTCCTGATCTTCCTCCTCCTCCTCCTCCTGCAGCGTGTTCCGGAAGGCTCCCGCCGGAACATGCTGTGCACAAGTGCTGTCACTGCTCCCGCCACAGTGCCCTGGGTGGTGGGTCAGAGGCAATTAAAATCAACGATTGTGGCCTCTCGGGCCGCTCTTGGGCGGCATCTTGAAGCGTCTTGGGAACTTGTCGAGAACGTCCAGGGCTGCCGGGACGGCTGTCTGAGGGCTTCCGACGGCGATTTCAGCCCTCTCAGAGGCGGCCCGGGCCCCGGGCTCCACATTTGTGGTCGAGGTTCGGGCCCCCGGGAGCGTCCTGGAGCCCCGTGGCCCCCATGGGGGTCCGAGGTCTCAATCTGGCGGCCCCAGGTCCCGCTCCCCGGTATACATATGTATATATATATATATATATATATCCAAAGATATATGTTTACACATACCTGTATACATATCTATATATGACTTTACACATATATACATATATATATATATGTAAATCTATATATGTATCGATAATTTGGTTTAAGAGCGCGGGAGAGGGAGAAGGAGAACACAATCAAACGAACAGACAATCAGACAAACAAAGAACAAGACGAACAAACGCAGGATGCTGACGAACAACACTGGATACTGCAAGGGAGGAGGAGGTGATCGTCGAAGACGTAAGCGTCGTCGTCGGCCCTTGATGCCGCCGAGCCTGGACGAACTGCGACCTCCAGCGGCCACTCAGCTTGCGGTAGCCATTGACCTGCAAGTGCTCGGCCTCGGCGCATCAGACGCAGCTGTATCCTCTCCATCCTCTTCCTCCGTCCTTCTCCTCCGCGTCCTCCCCATCCGTCTCCTCCTCTCCCTCCCTTCATCCTCTACCCTGCACCCTGCTCCCTCCCTCACTGCCGCCCTCTTCCTTCCCTCTGCACTCTCTCCCCTTCGAAACATAAGGGGTCACAGAGGTCAGACCTTGGACGAAGTCAGGCTGATTTGTTATAGCACTGCGATGTAGATGTCAATAGAGTCCTCCTCATCCGCCTCTTCCTCTTCCTCCGCCTCATCCTCCTCCTCCCTCCTCCCTCCTCCTCCTCCTCCTCCTCCTCTTGCTCTTCCTCCTCCTCCTCCTCCCCCTCCTCCTCCCTAGTCATCCTCCCTCGTCCTTCTCCTCTTTCTCCTTCTACTTCCTCCTCCTCCTCTGCATCCGACGCACCCCGTCATCCGTCACCCGCCCCGCACTCGCTCTTCCGCCCGCTGACCCCGGCCGCGTTGGCCCGCATGCCCTCCGCCGTGGCGGCGCTCGCGGAAGGTCGGTGACAGCCCTGCGGGGCATCGTTATTCTCTGTGGGTCCATCTTCCTGCCCCCTCCGTCCCACCACCTCCCGGCTCCCCTTTGGAGTCCCGAAACGGTGCGGTGACGGACCGTGCGGTGACCTCGAAATCCCCCAAGACCTCACCGCACGGTCCGTCACTGCACGGTTTTGGGACCTCGGAGGCCCCTGTCGCCCGAGACGTCCTCGGAGAACGACCCGAGTCCCAAAACCGTGCGGTGACCCCGAATCCCCACCGACTCGCCGCACGGTGTGGTCACCGCACCGTTTGGGGGCCCCCGATCCCCCTCCGTCATCCTCCCTCCTCCTTCCGGGCCCGTCCATCTCCTCCTCCCTCCTCCGTCCTCCGCCGCCTCTCCGCCGCTCCGCCGCTGCCCCGTCGCCACCGCCTGCGCCGCCGCCGCCGCCGCCGCGGGGGCGCTCCTGGCCTTGGAGTTCGAGGGCATCGGGATGACCACCGCGCCTGCGGCGAGGAGCACCAGCAGCGCGAGGACCTGCAGCGGGGGGCTTCGGCGTCCAGGGTTCGACAGTGTGCCGGGACGGGTGCAGGATGAGGAGGAGGGGGAGCCCGGGGGGAGAAGGGAGGAAGGGCAGGGGAGGGGAGGGGGAGGAGGGGGAGGAGGAAGAGGACGCCCGGAGAGGGGGGGGGGGAGGAGGAGAAGGAGGAGTGAGGGGCACAAGGTGATAGGATGGGGGGGAGCAGGAAAGAGAAGTTGGGGAGGAGGATTCAGGAGGAGCTGGGAGAGGGGGATCAAGACGCAGAAGGACGATGTCAGTTGAGGAGAACGGGGGAAGACAACGGGGGAGTAGGGAGGAGGATATGAAGGCGGACGTCAGGAGTTAATGGGGGGATGAGAAAGTAGCTGGGAACGGATGAGGAGAGCGGAGTGTGAGGAGGACGAGGAATCATGTTAGAAGAACACGCACCTTTAAATTGCACGCGTCCCCCCCCCCCAGAAGGACCAGGAAGACGAGCGAGACGGACCAGACGCTTGGTTGCAGCTGGGTGGTGGGGCGCAGCATGCCGTACCTGCACCGGCCGCGAGTGAGAAAAATGAAAGACGAAAGGATGCCAAGATACATCGGAAATGAATACATCTGAACGCAGCGCACCTGAACGGTATACGGTTGGTTCACGATGCCACTCGGCCCCGCTCTACAGCTCCGAATCCAAAGATGTTGGCATCTTTTGGGGGGGCGTGTTGTGCTTCCAACGGTTTCTGGCGACCTTCCAATAGTGGAACCGCTCTTTTTGTACTCAGCGCTGGCGTTCGCGGCTTTCCGCCAAGAGGAAGCGAGGGATGTTCCCCCCCTCAACGCAACATCAACCTGGTGTTAGCCCACGCGCGCGGCATCAAAAACCAATACTCACATAAAAACAATTACGTCGCGAAAAAGATCCGCAACCCCAACCGAAAAAAGGATGAATGCCGATGCTGCACTGTGCAGCGCTGTACCGCTCTTGCCAAAGCAACGGCCCAAGAAGAGGGAAGGCATGAAGGGAACGCCCCACTCCGTGAAAGTAGCCACGATGCAGGACGATCCAACTGTCGCAAGTCAGTTTTCCGGGGCCACAAGTTCAGACCTGCACGCGTGCAGGTATGATCCCCTCCCGACCGCGGGAACAGACCTGCACGACTGCAGGCCCACTCCTCTCCTCCTTTTCTGAGCTACGCCCTGGATGTGATGATGATGATGATGATGATGATGATGATGATGATGATGATGATGATGATGATGCTGATGCTGATGCTGATGCTGATGATGATGATGATGATGATGATGATGATGATGAGGAGGAGGAGGAGGAAGCCCCCCCCCAAAAAAATATACGGCCAATGGCCATCGAGTGGAATCCCCCTAACCTCCCCGAGCTCCCCACAAATTTCTCCCCTGCGGTAGGCGCTCCAGGGGAAGAACAAGAACCCCCTAACTCCCGTAGGCCATCCGAAAGAAAAAAATCATCTCTGATAGAGGAGGTCCAGGGTCTGGGTGGGACCCCCTTCCAAAACCTCACAGAGCCCCTCCTGAGTGGGGTATTGGAAAGGAAAACTCTCCTGGACGCCCCGTGAGCCCCCCGCAAAAGCTATTAGCCTAGCAAGGGACCCAACCATGGGAAGTTCTGGTACCGCAGTTGTGAATATTGTTGTCGGTCGAGCTCCCTATGTGGTCAAAGACGTGTGAGGGGTGTGCCGAAATGGGCGGCGCGGACGCATGCGGACCCTGCCACTGCGGCCTTCGGTGGAGCTCCCCATGGGGCCACGAAGCGTGTGAGGGGTGTGCCGAAACGGGTGGCGCGGACGCATGCGAACCCGGCCGCTGGGGCCTTCGGTGGAGCTCCCCATGGCGCCACGAAACATGTGAGGGATGTGAACCCTGCCACTGGGGCCTTCGGTGAAGCTCCCTCTAGGGCCACAAAGCGTGTGAACGGCGTGCCGACATGGGTGACGCGGACGCATGCGCCCAAAGCCCCCCTACTGCCTGCTGGATCAAAAATCCCGGATCGGCCCAGGGTCGTTTGCATCATCGCTATCCGATCGGACCTGGATCGTGGACCCTCGATGGGTCTGGGCTCCCGATTTTGGACATGGCATCCGAGACGACTCCGGAAGCGGGCAGCGCGCCGAACACTGGCACGGCACAGCAGACCATGGAGCACTGACAGAGGAAGTTCTGCTTTGAATCGCGGGCACCAAAGAAAGCAGACACGCTGTGCATAAGATCTTCCAAGCCACGACTCGACTTCCAGCCAACATCAATCGGACAGGTTTTCCTTATGCGGGAGTCTTGAGCGAAATCGCAAATTTCCGGTCGCCTCTGAAAATTTCCAGTCGTCTGGGAAGCGACCGTTTTTGGGAGGAAATATTAAGCGGAATGCGAATTTCCAGTCGTCGCCCCATTTGGCGATTACAATACTAGGGGATGAGGCATGGACCGGAAATCCGCGATGGCGGTTTCTGGAACATTGTACCGGGGCCCCGCGGCCTAACGGGGCCCGTCCACGCTGAGTTTCCGCGACCTCTGCGGTCCGGACTTTTTAATCGGGGGGGTGTAGCATCCCAGATGATCTCCCCCTCGCCTCCCCCAACACCCCCCCCCACTCGAGAAGGGGCTTCTGAAGAGAAAACCAACCGAACCTTCCCAAACCCTTCCTCACGGGGGTGGGTCCGCGGGGAGAGCCCCCCAATAATCCCCCTTAACCTTCGAAACGCCTGCCATTGTGGGAGGGGGGGTCGGGGGCGACACCCTCCGAGCCCCCCTAACCTCCCAAAGCCCTCTTTGAGAGAGGGGGGGTCCGGAAGGAAAACCATGCGAACCCCCTCTAAGCCTTCCAAGACCCTCTCCTGAGGGGAGGGGTCGGGGGGAAGACACCACGAGTCCCCCCTAACTCCCCAAGAAACCTTCCTCGAGAGGGGAAGGGAAACGCCCCTCCCCCCCTCCCCCCCATGTCCTCCCCCTCGCCCCCTTCCCAAACTCCCGAAAACCCATTTTGAGGGGGGGGATCGGGGCGAAACTCTCTGTCTCTCTCTCTCTCTTGTTTGCTCTCCCTTGCTCTCTCTCTCTCTCTCTCTTTCTGACTCCCTCTCTCACACACCCACACACACACACCTAACCCCACCAAGAACCTGACCTGGAGATTCACAATGAAAAAACACTGCAAAGCTCCTCCTCCCAAGACCCTCCTTGAAGGAGGGCTTCCGGGGGGAAGCCCAGCGAATCCCCCTAACCTCAAAAAACCTCTTTTGATAGACGGGTGCGGGGGGGAGACATCCCGAACCGCGCCCAACCCTCTCAAGAACCTCCTTCAGGGAGGGCTCCCAGGGGGAAAACTCCCCGAGTCTCCCCCAAAACACCCCCAATCTCCTTTTGATGAAGGGGGTCCAGGGGAAGCCACCCAGTCGGACCACCCTGTAAACATTCCAAAATTCTCGTTGAGGGATGATTTCGGGGTGGACCCCCCCGAGCTCTCCCTAAACCCTCCAATGCGGGCCTTGAGGGGAGGAGGGGGGAAAGAGAGCGCGAGGTGAAAACATCCGCCCCCCCCTCCCCCCCCGAACCCACCCAAAACACGCCTTGAAAGCGAGGTCACGAGGGGAAGCCCTGCATGACCCTCCGAATCCCTCAGAAGCCCTCCTTGAGGAGAGGCTTCCGACACCCTCCAACACCTGTCTTGAGGAGGGGGTCTGGGGGTGAAACCTCCTAACACCTCCTGGCCTCTAGTAAACAACCTTGAGGCGGGAATCCGCCCCCCCCCCCCGCGACATCTCCGAGCCCCGTCAAAACTCCCCTGAAAGGCCGGTCCAGGCGGGGGAGGCCTCCCCTAACCTCCCCAATACCCCCCTTGAAAGACAGATTTCCGGGGGTAACACCCCCCGAATCCCCCCGAACCTTTCCAAAACCAACCTTGGGGAGGGGGGGGGGCCAACGGGGAGAAACCTCCCCACCCCTCCCTGAGAACACCCCCGAAACACCCCTCGAGGGTGGGGAGGCCCCTACCCCCTCCCAAAAGATCCCCCTTGAGGCTGGGAGTCCCGGGGGGAAACCTCACAAACCCCTGCTAGCCCTTCCCAAACTCTCCTTGAGGAAATGTTCCCCAAGGAAAATATCCCGCCCCCCCCCCCCAGAACCCTGGGAGGGCTTCCGAAGGAACGCGTTCCAAATCCTCTCCCTCTCTCTCTCTCTCACACTATGTACTATCCTATTGTCTCTTCCCCCTCTTGTCTTACCGCTCCTCTCCGACACGTCATGGATTATCTCTCATACCTTCTCCCTGTCCAAGCTCGCTGAGCTTCCCGCTGCCTCACAACTCATCCTCATGCCGCGTGTGCGTACACACATTTGACTATACATATATCGTTATATATACATACATCTGTACACCTGGATATATAGGTATACATATACATATATATATATATATATAAGTATATATATATATATGTGTACGTACACCTTTGGGCCATAACTAGAGACTCTGACGGCCGCTCGGGGTGATTCCGGCACCCACGGAACGCCCGCAGCTGCTTGAAAGCAGACCGAGGCGAGGAAACTCCCAAGAACCAACGGAAATATCTACTCCCTGAAAACACCCTCCCCCTCATGCTTATCACACTTCCTCCCCTCCTCCTGCTCGTCGCTCCCCGCTCTCCTCCGCCTGTCAGAACCCGGGGCACCCCTGCTTGTTGAGGACCTCGTCCCACGGGTTGTGCCTGCCGCTAACGGCCTGGCACAAGGAACATGAGAAGGTGGAAGAAGAGAAGTTGGAGTTGGAGAGGGTCTGGTACAGACCGCCACCATGTGTTGGAATGATGCATTTGGCCCCCTGGGCGACGATGCCTGGGCAGTGCGGGAAAGAGCGGGGAAACAACGAAAATAAATACGGTATTGTCCTAACACGGATCCTCCTCCTCCTCCTCCTCATCCTGCTGAGCTGTTTCATGCCATCGTCCGCCTTCACAACTCCTCGTAATCGTCCGACCGACAACGAGATAGCAGGCATCCTGACTGGCAAAACGAGGTAGTAGGCATCCTGACCTGTTACCTCGCGTTTACTGTGGACCATGCCAGGAGAAGATGAAAGGTGGGAACACGATGAGGAGAGGGCAAGAGCGGGAAGAGGAGGAGGAGGAGGAGGAGCCTCCAGCCGAGACACCTCTCCCTCCGTTCCTCCTCCTCCGAGGAGGACGAGGAGGCCCCTCATCCTCTCTCCCCCGCCCTCTTCTCCGCTCCTCCGCTCCCTCCTCCGCCCCCCCCCCCCTCCACCGCCCCCAACCGCCGGCTTCTGCTGCACCGCCCCCTCCCTCCCTGAAGCCCGACGCCCCCAGAACAAGGGAGAACACCGCGAATAAGCACGGCCGGGGCCCCAGAGAAACCCCACCCTTTCAGCGCGCCATTTGTCGAGCCGCCTGGATCTTCTGTGAGGGCCCCGCCGGGCCCGACACGGGGCGAACACGCCCGGGGTGGAACAAGAAATGCAACTCCAGGATCTCAGGGCTCCTCCGCCCCCCTCTGGCCCATCCCAGACATCAGGCGTCTCGACTTTGTCGAGACCCAGCCCCCCGACCTCTCGACCACTTGTCCGGGACCCGTTGTTCGTCCCGCATCGTTTTGTGACGGTCCCGTGGGTCGGTAAAGGGCCCCGAGGGGCCGAGAACGACGAAAATCCGACGTCTCGACTTGCTCGAGGCGCTGGAGGTCGGGGACCCTCCCTGGAGGAGGCCGCGCTGGCCTGGGGGGCGCCACTGGCCGGCAGCTGCATCAGGGACGTGGCCTCGGACTGCTTGTCCTCGAGGGTCGGGCGGTCGACCACAAGCGCGGACGACCGCTCGAGGAGCCCGTACCTCGGGCGCCGCCCCAGGAGAGGGTGGACGGGGGGAAACTCCTCCTCCTCCTCCTCCTCTTCCTCCTCCTCTTTCTTTGCATTTTCCTCTTGCTCCTCCTCCTCTTCCTCCTCATCCTCTTCTTCCTCCTCCTCCTCGCCTTCTTCTTCCTAATCCTCCTCTTTTCCTTGTGCTTAGTAGTATGAGTAGTCATAATTGTGTTGTTGAATTTGTTATTCTTCCTCCTCCTCCTTCTCCTTCTCCTCCTCATCCTCCCCTCCATGTCTCCCCCTTCTCCTCCTCCTCTTCCTCCTCCTCGTCCTTTTCCTCCTCCTTTTCTCCCTCCTACTCCTTCACCTTCTCCTCCTCGTCCTCCTCCGGTTCCTCTGTTGTTTATTATTATCATTCGTATTATTGTTCTGTTTATTAGTATTGTTATGTGCCTTATTCCTCCTCCTCCTCCTCCTCCTCCTCCTCCTCCTCCTAATCATCATCATCATCATCATCATCATCATCATCATCATCATCATCATCATCATCATCATCATCATCATCATCATCATCATCATCATCCCCTCCTCCTCCTCTTCCTCCTCCTCCTCCTCCTCCTCTTTGTCCTCCTCCTCCTCTTTTGCTTAGTCCTCCTTCTCCTCCCCTTCCTCCTCCTCCTCCTCCTCCTCCTCCTCCTCGTCTTCTCCTTACTCTTCCTCGTTTTGCTATTCGCATTTTGTGTCGTATTAAGTGTTTTGTTCGTGTTCCTTTCCCTTCCTCCCTTTCCCCTCCATTCCTCCTCGTCTTCCTCTTCCTCTTTTCCCCCCCCTTTCTCCTCCTCGTTTCCCTCCTCTTTCCCTCTTCTTATTGATATACTTATACTCCTTCTTCAAGTTCAATTTCTTCCTCTTCCTCCTCCTCCTCCTCCTCCTCCGCCGGCATCTCGCGCGGGCTGATGGGGGGGGAGGCGCGCCGACCCCGCGCCGGAGCTCGGCCCTACAAGAGGGGGGAGGGGCGGGGGAGGGCAACATGAGTTTCCATGCGCTGAACAAACAGGAGGGGGAAAGTTAGGAAGGCACCAACTATACACCAACACCGATCCTGGCCCAGGATCACCCTGGGCCCAGGATCGGTGTATACGCCCTCCTGCCTTGCGCAAGAAGGCATATACACCGATCCTGGGCCCAGGGTGATCCTGGGCCAGGATCGGTGTTGGTGTATAGTTGGTGCCCTCCGAAAGTAGCGTAGCAATGTCGCTGGAGCCTGCAGCGCTGAAGTGATGCAGACGTAATATACACGGTGTAACGATGCCCTGGCGCCTGCAGCCACGCACAGCCCGCTGCAGATCGCCGCCCGGGTGCCCCCACAAAATTTCTATCGAACTGATCATGCGCTGCTCTCATGAGGCTCCGTCTCGCACGGCGCCAAATCCGATGCATTCCAGCGCGCAGTTGATCTAGTGGTTCCCTCCGACGCCCTTAAGAATGTCGGCATCTGGTCCTGGTGTCGTCGTCAGGGGGGCAGTCCGGTGGCTTCCACTGATTTCCAAAGAATGCCGGGCATTTCCAGTCCCCTCTCACCGGCTTGCAGAGCGTGTCTCGGATCGAAATGATCAGAAGACAACGCCGTGCCTCTCGGGGAAGACTGGGGCACATCGCGGACACCTGCAGGCGTCAGACCAAGGCGAGAACCGCAATGTGGCGCCCAAGCTCGTGGCGCCCAGGAACTTGCCGCCCGCATCCTGCGGTGGGCCTCTCGACCTCCGCCTCCTGACGTCCTCCAGAGACGATTTTGCCCTGGGAGGCGTCCGGCTTCGGGATATCCTGAACCTGGGTCACTCTATGTAGCGCTCTTACACCGCGCGGCGCTGCCTCCACGCACCGATTTGCCCACTGTTCGCTAGCCTCCCGGTGATAGTTCTTCGCCGCCTGCCCAACGTCCGCAGAGATGTCCTCCGCGAGCTGCGCGTGTCTACGGCAATCCATCGGCATCTGTCCAACTTCGGATCTAGCCTGCTGCGCCGCGCTGTCCAGAGTGCCACTGAGCCAGTGCCCGAAGTACTGCGTCCCGAGAAAAGTCGCAATTCCCTCTGGCCATACGTTCAAAGCATCTGTGCCTCGATGCAATTCTTGGGCGGATGCTGCCAACCTTCATCCACTCTCTTGCTGAGCGCGTCGGGTGCCTCAGTTCACGTGGCGCCCACCCGTCGTGGGGTGGGGGCTGCGGCCGAACACTCCAGGCCCCTCTTCAACTCTGCACCGGTTTCCTGCGCTATCGCCCCGGCTGCCGTGACTGCGAAAGCCGCCCGTGCCTTGGAAGACACCGCCAAAGCCGCTACCACGTGGCTGCTCTCGTCATGTGCCATGTCCACGCACGCCTGTTCCAGCGGGTGAAGCGAGCTCCAGTCTGTTGGGGCGCTCCTGGACCCGAACACACGGCAGGACGGCATGCGCGGAGTCACTGTGCACGCAAAACGCCTGAGCTTGAGCCCATTGCCCACCAAGTGTAACACGGCGGGGCGATGTGGCTTACGACTCCATGTCATGTCAGCTCGGACCCCACGATGCCCGCAAAGCGCCACATCGCTGATCGCGAAACAACCCATCACCGTGGATTCGGTCCCTCCTCTGCGCTATATGCTGTGGCACGTTCGCGGGTCTTGGGGGATCGGGCGCTTCCAACTCCTGAACTTGCCTGTTCCAGTGAACGCCTGCCATGTGCGGTCCCTGGATCTGACTGACATCAGGCCCGTGCTGGAAATCCGAATCGTGTCAGTTTCACCCGTGGGCCCCATCGAACCTCATAATTATTCATTCATGGTGCTTGACGCTAGCAAGCCATGCGGGTCCAGAATAGCGTGTCGTAGCCTGCAAGGTTAGACTTTGTGCTCATGGTTCTGCGGCTTTCGTAGACCAAGACCGCCTGGTGCAAGAATGGATATTCCCACCGACGCGAGACCAATCGTCGCCTTGCACGGGAGTGCTACCATCTTCCGACCACGCACCTGTCTCTCCCCCGCGACTCGAGCACCCCCTGCATCCCAGGCCCGCTGCCACAGGCTCTCGCTCGCGAGGCTGCGGTGGCGAGCGGCAGCCAGGCGAGCGCGCACCGCAAAGCGGCTCGTGTTCTGTCGCGAACAGCAGTCCTCCTCCTCCTCCTCCTCCTCCTCCTCCTCCTCCTCCTCCTCCTCCTCCTCCTTCTCTTCCTCCTCCTCCTCCTCCTCCTAGTCGACGACAGCGCAAAAAACGAAGGCTGAAGCCTCAGCCCGAGGAGCTGCCCGCCTCGGGCCCACGAGCGGCACCGCACGCCCGACGGTCAGCCTCCAGAGGCCCCGCCCTGCCAGCGCTCGAAAACTGCGTCGCGGGCCGCCACACAGCGCAGCCTGCGAGGCTCCGACGAGTGCAGCCCGTCGCCGCCGCCGCCACCACCACCACCATCATCAGCAGCAGCATCATCATCATCATCATCAGCAGCAGCATCACCATCATGATCACCATCATCACCATCATCATCAGCATCATCACCTTGAGTATCATCATCATCATCAGCAGCAGCAGCACCATCATCATCATCATCATCGTCATCATCACCATCATGATCATCATCACCACCAGCATCATCATCACCATCATCATCAGCATCACCACCACCATCAGCATCATCCTCACCATAATCGTCATCATCATCAGCAGCAGTAGCGACAGCATTATCACCACCATCAACAGCAGCACCATCACCAGCAGCAGCATCATCACTAGCTGCATCATAACCATCATCACCACCATCAGCATCAGCAGCAGCATCAGCATCCTCAGCATCAACACCAGCATCAGCATCATCAGCATCATCGTCGTCGTCATCATTGTCATCATCAGCAGCAACACCACCATCATCAGCATCATCATCAACATCATCATCCGACTCATCAGCATGCTCACCACCACAACCACCATCATCACCATCATCATCACCACCGTCATCATGGTTCCTATCATGCTCCTCCCTCCCCTTTCCTCATCATCCTCCCCCTCCTCATCCTCGTCAGTATGGTTCGCCTGTTCTGCATCATCCTAAAAATCACCCTCTTCCTCCAATTATCTCCTTCTAACCCCTCCTCAGACGTACCGTCCACATCTTGTCTCCGCTCTTTCCTTCTCACCTCTTCCTGTATTCCATCCGCATACATGAGAGGGGAAGGAGCAGCGGGAGGAGGGAGAAGAGGAAGGAAAAGGAGAAGCGTGCAAAACCTGCCGCGCCAGGAAGGACGCCAGATTCATCATCATATCTGGTGGGCCAGTTCCCATTCCCCAAAACTTTCCACCCACACACACAGACACAGAAACACACACACACACACACACTCACACACGCGCGCGCACGAACACACATGCACACACGCACACACTTTTTGCATCGCAGCTACGCGCGCGGAGGCGCGGCGTAAGGAAGGTTGAGCAAAGAGGGGCGCGCGGGGCGGGATAGATCACGCAACAAGGAGGAGCCAGATCCACCCATGAAAGATCAAAACGGCAGTCCCAAGGGGCAGTCGCGAGAGGCACACAAACACACACCACATTCACATTCACACATTCACACAGAAACCACACACACTCCCCCTGCTCTCTCCCAGCTCCCTCCTTTCGACCTCTGCGACGCGGGGTCTGGGGGGGGCGGAGGAGGATGAGAAGGGGAGGAGGAGGAGGGGCATGAGGGGGAGGAGGGGGAGGAGGAGCGAGGGGTATGAGGAGGATGAGGGGGAGGAGGATGAGGGGTATGAGGAGGATGAGGGAGAGGAGGAGCGGGGGAAGAGCGGAAGGAGGGGCAAGAGGCGCGCAGGGGCGCCGCGGAGCTCTGCGTGGAGCTCGCGGCGCACGCGCGGGCCCCGGAGGGGGGGCAGACGGACGAATGTTGGCGGAGGCGCTGCGCGGGCAGGCCAGGGCCTCAGAGCACACGCGCCGCGCGGGGGCGGGCATGGCGAGCGTGCGCTCCAGGCTGGAGGGCGCAAGGGCCCCCTGCCATGACTCGGGGGGGGGGGGGGCGCCGCGCTCCCTTTCTCTCAACGGGCGAGCCGCGGCGATTGGGGGGGGCTCGGGCGGCAACCAACAAAAGCACAGGAGAAAGGAGGAGGACGGTAGGAGGAGGAGGAGGAGGAGGAGGAGGAGGAGGAGGAGAGGAGGAGGAGGAAGAGGGGAGGAGGGGGAGGAAGAGGGGGAGGAGGGGCACCAAAACAGCAGGAGGAGGAGGAGGGAGGAGGAGAGAGGAGGACTAGGGGACGAGGAAGGAGGACGGAGGAAGAGGAGGAGGAGGAGGAGGGGAGGGGAGGAGGAGGAGAAGGAGGAGAGGAGGATGAGGGGGAGAGGAGGAGGAGGATGTAGGCGGAGAGAAGGAGGAGGAGAGGAGGAGGAGGAGGAGGGAGAAGAGGGAAGAGAGGGAGGAGGGGGGGAGGGTAAAGAGGGGTAGGGAGACTGCTGCTGACGACGACGACGACAGCGGCGGCGGCGGCCCTCCACGCACGGGGCTCGCCACGGCAGGTCGAAGGTCCTGGACAGCGAGTCCAGGGTGGACCGCAGCTCCGCGCCTGGGTGGGGCAGGCTTCGCTCCTCGATCTGCACCTGTGCCAGGGGGGATGAGGACTGAGGGAGGATGTGGGAGAAGGAGGAGGAGGCGAAGCAGGAGGAGGAGGAGGAGGAGGAAGAGGAGGAGGAAGAGGAGAGGGGAGGAGGGGGGGGGGGTGGAGGGGGGGGGGAGGGGGGTAGGAGGGGGGGAGCGGGGAGGGGGAGGAGGGGAGGCGGAGGAGGAGGAGAGGTGGAGGAGGGGAAGAAGACGAGGAGAGGAAGGAAGGGAAGAGCAGGAGGACGGAGGGGAGGAGGAGGAGGAGGAGGAGGAGGAGGGGAGGAGGAGGAGGAGGAGGAGGAGGGAGGGGAGGAAGGGAGGGGAGGAGGAGGAGGAGGAGGAGGGGGGGAGGATCAGGAGGAGGAGGAGAGGAGGAGAGGAGGAGAGGGAGGAGGGAGGAGAGACGAGGGAAGGAGGAGGGGGGGGGGAGGAGGAGAAGGAAGAGGAGGAGGAGGATGAGGGAGGAGGAGGAGGAGGAGGATCTGGAGGAGGATCTGGAGGGCGATGGCCACCCTGTTGCGTGCGCCTCCCTACCGCAAGGCCTCCAAGCTACTGCAACTACTGGGGCCGGAGGCATTGTCCCTCCGGAAGATGAAAGAGATGAGGTTGAGGCGGAGTAGGGGAAGGAGGAAGAGGGGAATGAGGAGATCCTGCTCCTCCGAAGGAGGGGAAGAAGGGAGAGGGGGGAGGAGGCGGATAAGGAGGAGGAGGAGGCGGAGGAGGAGGTGGGGGAGGACTAGAAAGAGGAGTAAAAGGAGGAGGAGGAGGAGGACGACGACGACGACGACGACGACGCCGACGCCAACGAAGACAACGACGACGCCATCGCCGACCATCACGACGAACCGAGGCGCCGGCAGCGACGCCGACGGACGGACTCAGCGCCAACCCGGCGGCGCGCAGAGGCGCCGCGGCGCCGAAGCGGCGTCGACGAAGGGCGAGCTGGTGGGACCGAGGGGTCCTCCTCCTGCTCCTCCTGCTCTTGCTCCTGCTCCTTCTCCTCCTCCTCCTCCTCCTCCATCCTCCTCCCTCCTCCCCCTCCTACTCCCCCTCCGCCTCCCCGTCCCGCCTCCCTCTCTCCTGCTCCTCCCCCTCATCATTCTCCCAACCTCGTTTTCCCTCCCTTCCTCCTCCCTCAAACCTCCTCCTCCACCCAGACCCGCCCCCTCCCCTCCCTCCCCTCCCGTCCTCCTGCCTCTCTCCTCCTCCTCCTCCCTCCTACCTCCTCCTCCCGCCCCATCCGCCGCCTATTGACCTGCAACGGAATGTGGTCCCCTGCCCGGAGCCAGGGCCGCTTCCTTCGCATCCTGAAAAAACCTCACGAGACAATCTTATCTCGTGGGAGGCCGCATCGGGTAGCAACCTGCGTTCTTTGATGAGCAAGTTGTCCCGTCGGCCATTCAAGTATCCCTTTGGGTTTCAGTCCCTGCAACAACCTACGAGACGTTTTGATCCCCGTGCTTGTCGGCTTCTCACAAGGACTGGCCAGCTTTGGAACCTTCGAGGCGGCCCACCCCCCGCACTTGGCACAAAACATCACCCCTTTGACCATGCACATATTGGGGTGGTGGGAGGGGTGGACGTCAAAAATATACTTCCTGGGCAGGCAAACTTGTGAAACCCACCCTGGAGACGGCTTGCCAGAGAAAACAGCGCAACGCGTACATCTAACTGACTCGTCTACTGGATCCCTTACAATGCAATGCGGGCTCATTTCAGACTCTCGAAGACGACGTGTTCGTGCACTCTTAGGTATTTTCTGCCGCTTCAGGTTCGGGCCATATTTCCAATTAAGATGTTGGACGCATGCGAGTCGGGATCTGGTCAGCTGCATCTCCTCATCCCTGGCCTTCACCTCCCTGACCTCCTCCTCCTCCGGAAATGCGAAAAACTCTGCCGCCCTGCGCGCAACGGCGTCGGCGGCGGCACTGGCAATGTAGAAGTCTGCGCGCGCGGTGCCGTCGGCGATGTCTGACGGGGCGGCATGGGCCTTGGTCTTCTTAAAGACGGCGTGGCTGGTCCTATGACGGTATACCTGCCACAAGAGGGACCACAAATCAGAGTTAGTTCTGTGTTTCCAGTTCTCACCCCGTCGGACCCCTTTCATGATGTAGTCGCTATCCGTGACGACGACGATTGGCCCATCTAGGGCCAAAGCATATATAGCCGCATTGAGCTCCCCTCAATTGACTGTCTGGGCTCCTTGGGTAAGTCCATAGAAAGTCCCCGGAGCCCATTGGTCCCTGCCCATCAAGACGAGGTCCCATCCTACTCTTCGAAGGCGAGGATCGGCGGAATGTTGTCCTCCCGAGCCGTCCGTGCCGACAAGCCGCGTCTCGGTGAAGGTGAAACGCCCCGTGTAGAGGCATCCCGTACCATATACCTGAGAGTTGACGGGTCTGGAACTGAGGAAGCCTACCGTCTGGTCCTGCGGCTGTAGTCCTCGAAGCCACTTAATGGGACATGTATTTCTTTCGGCCCTGGCCCTCGGGAGGAGGCGTTGGGAGCCCCGAGTCTCGTCATGTTCTAATGATATAGATATGAGGGCTGGGCAATTCCAATAGGCGTGAAAAGCTCCCTCCACTGGGGCTCCGCATCGCCAGCATTCGGGGGGGGGCCTTTCATTCCAACGTTGAATCTCCTAGCTCCATACCAGATGCACCCCTTGGCAACAGCATACGCAGCAGCAACTAAAAGTTTGGATTTCTTCCTCCATCCTCCCACATGGTGTCGAAACTGGTGGATGTCAACTCCTCCTTCCCCCCCTCCTCCACAATAGAACTCGGCCGCCTGCCCCCAGTACTTGCGGGTGACGCAGGCAGAGAAGGCGGCGGGCATTGAGGACTGATCATCCTCGACACCTGGCTTGACGAAATACTGCTGTCCGAACGGGCTGATCCACCTCCATGGATCTGAGACCTCCCAGCGGAAGTCCAAAAGGTAGGCGAGGACGGACGACGGGAGGCTGCATACCTTGTTCCATCTACCTGGTGCTTGGAGCCGGGCAAGGGTCCTGGGCCAAGTTTTTCCCATCCCAATGTGTAGGTGCTCCTCCTGGTTCAGTATGGTGGTTCAATATGGAAAAACCCGAGCTCCAGACATCCCAAGGGAACATAATATCCTGGATCGGTAACCAAGCTGCCCTTCGTGGAGAGGGCGTAAGCGGTAGTAGCACAGCCAGATTTACTGATGAGCCCCATAGCAGTAGCCAGTCGCCCCCTGAGGAGCTCGAGGGCTGTGGGGGCCACTCCGTGCCCTTGGAAGCCC